ATAGTCAACCTTATCCTAGTATTTCAGATTTCGCCTAAATTAATTCTAATTAGCCATGGCTTTTCAACCTGGTTTGTTTTTTGAGGATTGGGCATTTTCATCCATATAAAAAAGCGAATTAGATGGATTCAGGTGGTCGAAGGGAAGCTTTTAACCTGGGTTTCGTATTTGTTGGACCTCTTCAGAATGGTGTATCTGTAACCTCAAAAGAAAGTGGTGGCCTCCTTTAAAATCATTGTAAGGTTCACTGAGATAGCAAGTCACTTAACTTGGTGACCATATTAGAAACTGAGCCGTTAGAATTAAGTTTGCCTTAACTACATAAGCTAGACACATGATAATGGTTACCTCCTAGTAACCATTCAAATAACAACTTATCTGTTATTGTCCATAGTGCTTTTTATTATATTTTTAATGATATCTACTACACCAGAACTACTGAATTTTGAAAATTCTAATCCATTTGGAATTACCTTTTGCTTTATGGTTTCCTAAAAACTTGAAAAATAGAGAGATGAACAACGGGATTCAGAAGAATTTAATTGCCTACTGAAGTCTTTCCTAAATATCTAAGTCATAACTTCAATAGACAGAGAATTTCTTTGATGAAACATAGTATAATTGGGTTTAAAATAGTCATAACTCACAATTACAGCAGACGTTGAACGATAATGTTGTTGATGATGTTGTTGATGGGCACTTTGTTGCTGATACTGACGATAATCATGCAGTCCTGTTGATGAGGCAGCCATCTGCCTTAATCTTGTTTGTCGTGCTAGCTCTTGTTCACGTTCCTGTTTTAAACATTCACGTCTTGCTGAATAACCAGAACGTGCTAAATGTGAAATTGACGGCATTTCACGATTATATGCCAAATCAGATTCTAAAATAGAATATTTAATATATACGCGCATGTTATGATCAAGTGAAAATTAGACTGAGAATATTTATACCTTCAATGACTGGTCAACAATTACTGTGACTTACTGTGTAATTACAAAATTACATAGAGTTATCTATTAGGCTTGAATAAAGCTATATATACAAACCTCACTATCCTGCAGGACGACGGTGACATCCATCTCTAGCATCAGAATTGGATAGTTCTCTTGTCATAACTTCATCTCCGAGAGAAAACTAGAGTCTGAAAAGATTAATTTCTATCCAAATGGAGGTGTACGCCGAGATGAGTATGCCTATAGTAGAACTTTCAGTGGCTTAACAGTTGTCACAGTCACTGATGAAACCATAAATTAGCGTTTATGCTTAAACATCCATTTCTTAAGTCACAAATAATTACAAATGCTGCCAAAATACTCAATGAATTGCAGAATTTAAGGGAAACTACTTTGTGACTCAATTATAAGGCCCTTAGTCTCTTTGGTTACTAGTCAGGATATTCGCCAACTATAGATGTAACCAACAAGTAATAGATTTTCTAATAGATAAATAGATCTCAGAAGTGCTCATTAAAATAATTCACCCCAGCGTTAATGGACACAGAGCTGTTTAAAATGTAAAACATTATTTTGGGAGCCCGTTTTGCATAGTAACAACAATATTATTCCGATCATTCTACAGTTAAGCTAGATCGCGATAAAAGCGAGTAGATCAAGGTGATAAACCATGAAACTACTAGACAGAATTCTCTGTAATCTGTAAAGTTTCTGGTAATTGAAAGTACTGCTGAAACTCCTCAGTTACGTCACTGGTAGAAGGTTATAGATTTGCAATGCTGAAGAGTAAAAAAACGAAGGCAAAACAACCTCTCAGTGCTTTCTACGATTTTCGACAGTTTTGTTTTGACACTTATCACTTTTTGGTGAAATCTGCCCTGAATAATTTTGGCCAGAGTTTGGAGATTTACTCACCATGTACGTATGTCTAAGCCTGTATTGTGTCTTCCATTCATGTCCACAAAAGGAAAGAAGTGTATCGAAGTTAAGAAGTTAAGACACTCGGGTATAACTCAACCCCTCCTATTACAGTTCATAAACTCTTGCATCCTATCTATTCTAAAAAAAAAATCACCCTTATTCTTTCCTAGTTTGCATAAAAAGGACTATGTCACAATTCGTAGAATGCTGAAGACTATCAGTAGGGTGAGTGGTGTCCCAGTGGACCACATAGTTAACGTTGTTGTCGATAGGCACTTGACTTCATGCAATAAATTCGCTAAAGGGATTTTGTCTGACTTGGAGCATCCACTTTACCCTCAGCTTTCACCTTGCATCTCCTCAGGTAGAACAAGAAGTAACTTCAGAATACCGTATGCTCGCACGTCTAACTACAGACATTCTATGATACCATACATGGCACGTATTTATGGTGATAGTGAAAATAGTGTCAAGCAAGATTTAACTAACCTTTTTTCATCTAGTAAATAAACAATTTCCTCCATCCATCCTTATATACCCTCAAGTTTTAATTTTATAATTTCTATTATATTTATGGTCCTGTTACTTATCTGATTTTTTTACTCTCATAATTGCTAACACCAACTTATCTCCTTGGACGGATGTAATCTTTGTTTTTCCCTTCACCATATCATGTAAATAGAACATTATATTCAATAATTTTTAAACAAGCTAAGATTTCTATACCACATTGCCAATACTGTGTGACACAAGCCAACGGCAATTTTCACTAATATTCTTATTATTATTACCCTAGCTGTTAACATTATTGTTATTATTTCCATTATATATGCTGCATGTTTTTGACACTGCCTGTATTGTAAATGTAGAAAATTTTTTGTGTGATTAATTTTTATTTATAATTTGAGGAAATTAGATGCAATAATATTGTGATTAATGCTGAGAATTCCATTCTGCATCACAAGTATTGATTTTGGAATAAAGTAAATCATTATTATTAATATTAGAGACAATGAAGACAATATCTTCATCAGAATGAACACATGTGAAACTATATTGGAAGCATAGTTAATACAGTCATTCAATGGATTAGAAATCCAAAACACTATGATCCCTCTGTTCCATGATTCGCTTTCCACAAAAAAAAAAAAACCGACATAAGGAATACAGAATTCAGTTATTATGTGCACACAAATCATGAGGGTAAGGTAACTTGAAATATCAGTTGCACTGAATTTTTATAGTTAATTATTAATCAAAAGTTTAAACTCGCAACTATGTTGTAACTGATATCATATTTCCACAGGATAAGCAATTCTGTCTATAGCACAATTCAATTTTCAAGAGAAGCTTATGAATTTAGTACCGTAAGATAGTAAGGGACATAGAATAATAAATCATAATAGTGAACTGTTGCATGAAAAGCTCCAAAAATTTAAGAGAACTTTTAGGCTAAATCACTTCATTTTGTTCCTGAAAATCAATTAGTTGATATTTAGTAAATTCGAGTCTGTTTATATATTAACCAATCAAAAATACGCCTACAATTAATCAATATACTGAATGAATAGTTGAATTTAACTTTCTCTATAACCAGCTTGTATGTATAGAGATTAGTGTTAAGAAAGTAGATTGAATTATTGTACTGGCAAGATTCTATACATAAATATATATTTACAATCTGGTAATTGATCTCCGCTCCCTGCTTCTTAATCTGTCACTTTTCCACTCTCCTTTTATTATTTTGTCATCATTTATAAGACTGTTTAACCTGATCATGTGCGTCAGTGGCATAGCGGTTAGGACGCTCACCGACCATGCACATGGTCCGGGGTTGAATTTCCGGCCACCGACGCACTCCTTTACCTCTCTAAGCCAGAAATAATGGTGGTAAAGAGGAGAGGTTGGGCATGAGGCTAGAAACCCCATCCTGTAAAAATTAAACACTGCTACAGAAACTTCAAGCCACTAGCTTTAAGCCCTATGTTCCACTGGGAACAGTGAAGGAAAAAAACCTGATCATAGAGACAGTGGTTAACATTAAACTTGGTTCAGTTTAGTATAGAAATCTCCGCTTCTATGAACTTATTCCCGAATACTACGACTTGATTAGATAATTTCTCTGATCAGCTGTATAGTGCAGGGAAAAAGGTGAACGGCTTTTTTTCTTTCATCCCAACTAAAACGATGCCTATCTGCAAACTAAACACTTAAGGATTTCCGGCTTAATTCCTGCCTATACATGGGTTTAAGTGAATGTTGGCAGTTACGAAAACTATGTCAAATGATCAGGATGATATCTACTCAAAAATGGGGGATATATTTTGTTCATAATCTTATTCTTTTTTTATAATATTCCTTTACGTTCTCAGTGGAACAGAGGGCTTCAAGCTAGAGGCTTGAAGTTTCGGTAGCACTAGTTTTTCTTTTATGGCATGAGGCTTCTATAGTCATGCCCAACCTTCTCTCTTTACCAGTCTTATTACTAGGTTAGTGAGTTAAAGTAGTGCGTTGAGCGGGAATCGAACACAGGACCACATGAGTAGTTGGCGAGCATTCTACAACTTAGTCACCGACGCTTTGTTCATAAATTGCCAGCATATGATTACAGTTTTCAAATACTCAGATCATGGAAAAGCATAAGGATTTCTGCAAATCTCACCAATCAAGCTTAAGCTTTATACCTTCATCAGTAGAAGTATGTTTCACTAATCAATAGCTCCAGAGACTGTGCATATACATTACTGTGAAGAATAAAAACTAAGAGGGAAACAATACTATCTATCTAAGGTCTAAATATTTTCAATCCGATTAAATTTAATATTAGTAGAGAATTTAGGACTATACTGTCAAAAATCTGAACATATATTCCTGAACTAGTGATAACGTTGACCTACATATTGATAGAATTGTTTAGTATTCAGATAGGGTTTGTATTTGTAGTTAGTTTAGATGTGTTTTTCAGATTACATATATAGTTTCCAATATAGCAAAAATATTCATTCAAAAATCTACAAAATAAAAAATATTGAGCAAAGAATATCCTTTTCGATAATTTCCTCTTCTTCTGGCTCTACAATTACATCAACTGGTCAGTATACTCATTTGGTCAGCCTACTACCTTTGAAATATAAACACAATCTGATAAAGTGCTTGAACCACAGAGCAAGAGCAATCTGCTCTGATGAACGCCTCCATGAAGAACTTAATATTATTAAACAGTTGTTGAGTGAGAATGGTTAGTCAGCGAATTCCATTGATAAGAATATGAATCAGACATCAATGCAGCCCAAGGTACCAGCAGTTCCTAAAAGGCGTTATTCGTACAACTTCAGTTTCCCTGGGGATAACATCAGGGAGATGTAAAGAAAATGCCTTAGGAATGCGGTAAAAAGAGCATTCACTACTGCTGAATTATGGTGTGTCTTCAAAACCACCAGTATTTTGAGTTCGGAAGTAAAAGATAAACTACTGCTCCTGTGGAGCCAGTTACATAGACCGTACAGTTAGGCGTGTTTCTTGTTGGATTTTCCGAGATAATCCTCCTGCGTGGTTAAGTAAAGGACAAACAAAATCGATTCATAGCTCTTTTCTATCTCATCTTGTGGATACAGAACACAAGATTGATTTCAACGAGGCTTTCAAAGTCGTTTACAGCATACCAACTAATCTACACTTCACTTTAAGAGTTCGTCTACTACATATTGCTGAGGCCGTTGGGATCCACATTAAGAAGCCTATCTTATGTGTCCAAAAGAAGCTGGTTCAGAAATTGTGCATAGCTTGGCCATCAAGGTTTTAATGATCCTCAATTTTCTTTGTGAAAATTTCCTTAATTTTGTTTGACATTCTATTTGCTGTTATTTTTGTATGCTTATTATAATTTATGCATCTTTGGTAAACTGTAATTCCACTGTGGTCTTACTTAACAAATCGACAGCATTTAAAAAACTCCAATATTGTTAATGACGACTATTCTAGAATATTCTTTCTATATAAACATATATGTAATTGTAGAGGCAGAAGACAACGTTATCAAAAGTGATATTCTTTGCTCAATTTTTTGTTTTCTCAAGATATATATAGTTTTACTTGGATTTCCAGTAGTTTTATTAATTCATTTCAGTTTTAGATAGATTAGTAAATGTGATCGTGATTCTGAAATGTCTAGATCTCATCAATAAGAATTCCAATAGATGAATGTTGCAAATATAATATCGCATACATCTATTCTGCGAGGACGTCGTCAGTAATGAAACAAATCAATACTTAGAGAAGTTCTGATACTTCATCTTAGGCATTACATCATCATATTTAGTGTCATTTCAATGCTGAAGCTCGTACTAAAGTTTTTATCGATTTCAGTGATGTAACGTTATCGATCGAACAATTTCTAACCTCATCTAGAGATACAAATCTACTCAGTTATTTCAAAAATATTTAAAAATGATTCTTGATAATTTAAAAAACAACACAAAAATTAATGATGTAATAACAATAAAAATAGTAGTATTAAATGTTACAATTATCAAAAAAATTAATAATAAAATAGAACTAACCAGAGCCTTGGTAAGATCTTAGATTCCAAGATCGTGGAGCACCATAGACATTAGTATGACTCATTGTACGCTTTGGGATTGAGAAGTTAACATCATCTGTGATAATTTGTGATTTGTAAACAGCTTTTACGAATCAATCACCAATGGAAATATGTGCAAATACGGTACAGAGTGAGTGATGCAGCAACACAACAAATCCATACACGCACACCCACACATATTGAGTGTGCAGTTGAGCGAGCGAGTGAGACAGCGAGCGAGAGAGAGAGAGAAAGAAAGAGATCAATGAACAAATGAGATGAAATGTAAAAATAGATTAAAAAACCAACAAAAACTACTAACTTGATGATATTTTTACAAAAGTTAGTTATTACTACTGTGAAAAAAGTTTCATTATATCACAGTAGTATGCAGTGATAAATATTTTGTAAAAATAAGAGATCTAAAATGAATACATCTCTACAACACAGACTATACTAATCAATTGTCGCCTACTACAATGAGAATAGTAATGAACAGCAGAGAATTATGATTGATAACTGTAATAGAAAAGTAATAATAATAGTAATAATAATAAAAACTTGTTAACAATAGAGAAAAACGATGATAAAAACTCCATTTAGAGAAAAAAAAGTAGCAGCAGTGTTTAAACTAATGTGTGTGAGCACTCTTAGTATGCTTAAGAAAGCAAAAAATGCGCCGCAGAGACACCCACACACACACAATATAAAGTGTGCCTAAACGTGTGTGTGTGTCTGTGCTTTCTATGCATATTGATTGATGTAAAATTAATTTGTAAAAAAAATTTCCAGTTTTGTTCAGTTAGATGGGTAGTAAACACGGATGTTGGCAGAATTCTACAGGTGTGCATAATTGATTTCCGATTGAAAAAAAGGTGAAAAATACACACTCACAGATGCACGCACACACACAAACAAACAGATATACACGCCACATAAGACTTGTTCCTTTAAAGTGTGTGTGTATGCGTATGTTTACACATGAAAGTATACACAGTTTTCGAATGACTTCATAAATCTCATCAGTAAAATTCCAGCGAAGCACCGACTGACTGATCTGATGGATTTAACTGTGTCAGTTAGTTTTCGGATCGATATACTGAGGCAGGATTCACGATGTTAGTGGAAAAACGATGTCGATGCTAATAATAATAATAATAAAAATAAATGCTGATCTAATGTCTTAGTCTGGAATTTTAAATTTCTAGAATCACGTGATTGAATTAATTGATTAGTGTTTTGTGTGTGTAAATCTGATCATGATTCTCTTCTAAATAACTTGTTTTTCATAAGCCATCAGTTAGCCAGAGAAATTCCATTTGGTTAGGCGGCATAAGCTTGATTCTATAGATTTCTGAGATATTCGTGTAAAATCAATCTGGTATGGTAGATTTCCGTTTTTTATTTCATTTTTTTGCAATTTTGTATTGATTATTGGTTAGGTAAGCAGATAAGTGAGTGTTTCTTTTATTAAATTATTGGTCTATGGTGTGACCTGAACCCTACTTGTTGACCGTGTGATTGATTCGTATTGTGAAATTCTGTCAGCTAAATTGTCAACGGATTTAGGGCTTTTTATGTGTAAACGCTTTCAAGCAACTCTAGCTGTTGCTTCATCTCATTTATTGTGTGAGGGCTGAGATACTGCCTGGGCGCCCAGACCGAAGCAGGTGGTTTTCTTAAGGGACCATCCGCCGAGCCTTTGACTTGGAGTCTAATCCGCAAGGCAGCGGAGCTGCATTCCCATGGTTGCCAGTGACCAACATGGGTTCATACGCCATTTGATCCGATTGGTACATCATGGTACAGTCCATGACGTGGCGTTGTGGGATGTAGGATGTCTGTGCTAGATTAGCATCGGTTGGTACGTCACAACTCCCTGGTTGGAGTCCGAGAGATAGCTGGAGTTGATGGCTCGAAACGGTATCGGATATGTCCAAGAATCGTAATCAATAGCGAACGTTTTGCGATTTTCTTCTTTCTGCCCTTCGCGATGACAGTTGACGGATACTTTTTGAACTTGTTAAGCATAACTGTTTTCCTTCCAGATGAAGTTCTTTATTCTTTCTCTACTTATATTTTTTACTTTCGATCTATGTTGTTTTATTATTATTGTGTGGCGCATCTTTCTTGGTGCCATATTGTAGCAAGTTGTTTTTTCTGCGCTCTAATAAATAAATAAACTCTAGCTGTAATACTTACCTTTAAGAAGTGTGTCGTAAAATCAAATTATCAGGCCATTTTCTGCCACAAATATACAATAATGTAATGTATAAACTACGAAAGGTAGATATTTGGGACTGTACATTTTAACCTGAGATGAAATTCAGGAGCTACACTTCGAGTGGCGATGGAGTGGTAATAAAAGAAAACGATTACATTGGGAAAAAACTTCAGATATTCTAGCTGCGGAAGACTGTTTATACCGAAAGTCTTTGCCGATTGATATTAGATGGTTGGAGGCAATCGGCCACAGGAAGCCTTGGATCTAGGTTTCGTGCTAGTTGGCACTCACTAGTCAGCAAGGTGTATCTGCAACCGCCTTGAAAGAAATCATGTCCCTTCTGAGATTCAAACCCGCGTCACCCAGTGCTTTAGCCACAGACGTTACCACTGTAGGACTGTATTGGGTATTCTTGATTTCACACTAGTCAGTAACTAGTGTAATGTGTCTAGTGAGTAGTGTGAAATCAAAAAGAGTTTTCCCGATGATTAAACCTTAACATTGAAGTTCAGTGACACAGTGTATCAGGGCTTCGAGTTTTGAGTCCCAGGTTGGCATGGAGGAGATAATATGAAGAGGAAATGAAAGCTCATGGTCAATCGTGTAGCCAGTAGAGACACGCTCTGCTGAAGCTCTGTTTTTCCACTCGAAACCCAAGAAGGTGAGGGTAATAATCTGCCACCACTATAAAGAGTATCAAAGAGTCACTTGAACTAGCCTAGTGAATGTATTATACGCTTAACAAACAACATTCTTGATCAGGAGTAAAAAGCTTAAAAGCTTACACCGGTCGCCTAAAAGAATAACCATTTTGTGTATTACATATTTTCTTCGGGAAAGTCTGTGTTTCGAAGTGACCTATTTTACTGCATCCCTACACCAATCAAAATTCACCGATGATTGAAAATCATCCAATGAAGGGATAAAATAAGTATTTATAAAAAAAGGTAACGAAAAGGAGGAAAAGATTAAAAGTATAAAGAAATATTTACAAACTGGTGAAGAAAGAGAACTGTACAGATTTTATGACAATTCACAGACTTTTCGAGATTGATTCAAGTTTTCTGCATAACTGGTGATCTGAGTAAAGTTTCTTATAAATTTTGACACAGGGAATTTGATAGTTCAGTCCCATTGATTTAGTGGATTTTGACTAGCCCACCCGTCTGAATAATCAGGTTTTAGTGTCCAAGAGAAACGCTTGTATCAATCGATGAATGACCCTGATGAGCACTGGGAGCACTTCAGGGGGTAGGTAAACACAGTGTTAGCTAAACAACATCAGTTTAACATGATAGTCGGTTAGTAAAAAATGCGATTTCATAATATTATGTTAGCCGATAAGGTGATGTTTCCCCTAGCCTGTGTAGAATTTTTATATATAGAATCGTAAGACAAACCAACTCACGGTGTTTTCGGTTAAATGAACCAATCTCTCTGGTTCTAGACACAGGAGAAACATTATTGTCATGATAAAAATTGTTATTATTATTACTATTATTATTAAAACTACTACCACTGGTGTAAACAGTAAGTGGGACTTGATGTGTTGACCAGTAAACATCTTCATCATCTTGCGTTTGTTGTTGGTGGTGATAGTTACTACGCATAGTGTTAGACAGATTAGTTCCATTTACACTTGAGGATGTTATATATTGTCCTACGGGTGTATTAACTCTGACTTCTTTATATGAAGGTATCATCATAATCTTTTGATTTTGTTCTCCTGTTCTCCATCCTTCGTCATCTACCACTCTATTCTCATCATATTCAATTTCTTCGTGTATTGTACCAGTAGGTCTACTGTTTTGATCAAGAAATTTTTTATAATTGTGATAACTACTAATTGAATTTCTAGACATTATTTGTGAGGCTGATTCACTTGAAGAGGATTTACTCTCTAAATCGAATTGAGTCAAGACATTGTTACAAGGATCTGGAAAGCAGTAACGACACTTTGTGTTGTGACAACTTCGTTTTAATCTCAGCGAATGAGGATAATGTGCTACGGTGCTACAATGATGCTGGAATTGAGGTATATGCTGATGACTTTCAGTGTTATAGTACACTTCCGAATAATTCGAACGATTTTGATGCAGACTTGGACTGTATTCTACTTTCCTTATATTATGATTCGATTTCATTTCTTGTTCTGATATTCTTGAGTAACAAAGTAACAGCTTTCAATTATTTTACTTTTGATAATCTGACGTGAATAAAGACGAGTGAGTATCTGCGTTCCTTTGTTCCACTTGTGGTTAGTAGCCGTTCATGGCAGACGCAAGGTGGCTTCTAAAACAATTAAAATAAAAAGAATAAGGGATTGGTATTTAATTTGATTAAGGAACATAGTTAGAGAGATAATTTGTGAATAAATTCTTCTCAGCTGCTTTTAAAACGATATCTCTAAGTGAACAATGTAGTCCAATAGCTTAAGACATATAACAAATGACGAAGGTTAATGGAGTCATGATTGTTAAAATTCATAAATTTCGTTTTACGTGTTAATTGAATACAGTATACACTTGAATATCTACACTGATGCATGTGTATACCCACAAATGAACCGCTAAATCTGCAAAACCACTACCACTAGGAGGGGGAACACAACAGCCAGGATAATTCTCGCAGTGGGAACAGTACTTACTACTTTGAACGTGTATTCAAAAGCAAATGCCTCTTTGCAAAGAAAGGTACAAGCCTAACAAATATGGCAAACCGTTTCTCCAAATAATTAAGAAATACTGTAAATAAAGCAACTAGGTGTTCCGCGTCGGTGGCAGAGCGGTTGGGACGCTCGTCGACCATGCACATGGTCCGGGGTTCGATACCCAGCCACTGATGCACTCCTTTACCTGACTAAACCAGAAATAATCCTG